GACAGGCAGTTTTATCTGTGGACATTATTTTCGTTTTCTTTAAATTCATGAACAGGTTTTGATCTTCACTGTGCTCTTGGACAGACAATATTAAATTTTCTATTCCCTTTGCGCTGTTCGAAAGGAGGACTGTATCATCTGCGTAGCGGAGTTCCGGAATATGGTAGCCACCAATTTTGAGCGGATCATAGCTGTCACAAGTCCGGTCATTTTTGACATTTCTCATTATATTTTCTGAGTATATACTGAATAGGTATGGTGAGAAAATGCACCCCAGCCTCACCGCCTTTTGCACCTCGAACCAATCATATGTTTCACCAGCTGCTCTGATGGCTGCTGTTGTTCTTGATAAAGATTTTCAATTAAATGCACTAAATGCACTTAAAACCCCATACTTTTCATAATAGTCCACAGTTTGTGGTGCTGGACACAATCAAATGCCTTGCTATAATCAATAAAACAAGCATGAAGATCTTTGGTGTATTCTATGCATTTTTCAAAAATTATTCTTATATTAAAGATGTGATCCCTAGTTCCTCTACCCTGTCTAAAACCCGCTTGTGCTTCATCTAGCTCATATTGTAGTTTCCTTTCAATCCTTTTTATGATAATTCGTAAAAGGATTTTGCTAGCATGACTTATTAATGCGATTTTACGGTAGTTGGAGCATAGTTTCAGATTTCCTTTCTTTGGGAGAGGGATATAGACTGTTCTTTTCCACGATTTGGGCCAAATGCCACTGTTCCAGATCTTCGAGCACAGTGCATGGTAGATTCGGACGCTGGCCTCTCCTCCTGCTTGAAGTAGTTCTGCTGGTATTTCGTCGCAACCTGGTGACTTTCCTTTCTTCAGGCTGTGTATGGCCGATCGTACCTCATCCAGTAATGGCTCTGGTTCTATTCCATAACTTTCACAAGTCGTTTTTGAATTACTTGTCACATCCTCATACATTTCTCTATAGTATTCTTTCCATCTTTCTAATGTGTCTCTGGTTTCCGTTAATGTGTTACCATTTTAATCACTTATTACATGAAAAGAAAGCCCGAATTCGCCTTTCAAAGTTTTAATTTCTTTAAACATGTCTCTGTCTCTTCCTTGCATCTGGAGTTTGTTCAATTCTATTACAGGTATTTATAATAAACTGTTTTTTATCTTCTCTGATAGCTCTTCTGAATTCTTTCGTGTAGTTCTTTCTGTCCCTACTCGCTTTAAATTTCTTCTTTCTTTTATCAGCTGGAAAGTTTTTTTCTGTAATGTAAATCTGTTTTTTTTTTTTTTTGCAGAAATCATGTTCTGAGCTGTTGTGATGATGATGATTATTGCTTCATCCGCCAACTCATCAGTTGTCATATCCTCCTGCACTGCCATTAGCGCCTCAAATGTGTTTCCAACCTCAATGCTGTAATCATTTGGCAAATTACTCAAATCAAAACGTATTGGCTTAGCCCCTTTCAACATTTTTTTTTAGTTTTATCTTAAACTCTGCAACAAGAAGTTTGTGATCAGTGACAGTCAGCTCCAGGGAGTGTCTTTGCAGATGTTATACATGTCCTCCATTTTTGTTGTATTAAAATATAATCAATTTGGTTCCTGCTATTTCCATCTGGTGAAGTCCAGGTGTAGAGCCTTCTTGGGTGTTGTTTAAACAGTGTGTTGGTAATACACACATTCTTTTCTATACAGAATTCAATCAGTCTCTCCCCACTCTCGTTTCTGTCTCCTATGCCGAATGGGCCTCTGACTATTTCCTCTTCCTCTATTCTACCTCGGCCAATTTTTGCATTAAAATCCCCCATTATGATTATAATATCTCTTTTTTCTACCCTTTCTAACGTCTCTTCTAAACTGTCATAAAAGTTTTGAATTTTATCTTCCACTGATGCAGATATTGGGGCATAGACTTGAATAATTGTGATGTTTCTTTTTTTTTTTGACTTAAGTCTGACAGTTAGAATTCGGTCGCTGATCGGATTATATCCGAGAAGTGATGAAGAAACTTTTCTTGTCATCAGAAAACCCACCCCGCTCAAACCACTCTTTTCCTTCCCTGAATAAACAAATGTATCTCCTGTTTGAGTCACAAAATGGCCATGACCCGCCCATCTATGTTCAGAAATTCGTATATCTATTTTATTTCTTTCTAGTTCTCTGCCAACGATGCTAAGTTTTCCCTGATACATGCCCCTAACATTCCATGTTCCTAACTCTAAAGTTTTCTTTAGAGCGGTGACAGAGTTTTCTGTTGTAGGACCGTCGGGCTTAAGGCCGTCATCACAACTACCCTTACTAGCTCTGCCATCGTTCTCCTCACCAGTTCGCGTTTGTGATCTGCCTGGCCTGAGGGCCTTACCATCAGATCTTTGAGTTTTATTTTTGGCTTCCATGATGAGTTTCTTGGGATAGTAATGTGGTAGTTTCCCGTTGCTTTCCACATCCACATGGCTTTAGACCGTGTCCTCAGCCTTCAGCAACCTTTTAGATTGCTAGGGCAAGTGAGTGCCCTGCTCTGTGATACTCCTGCTAACAGCAGAGGGCACCTCAGAGGTGTCCACTTATCCCGGCGGATACTCGGTCCCCATAGCTGCATTGGCCACACCGCAGTATGTTTACCGTCCTCTACCGCGTGGAGGTGCAGTTGGGGTTTTCCCTTCACTGAGTCTTGAGACCAGAATGGCATTTCCCAAAACTCTCCAGTACTTTCAGAGGACATATCCTACAAGGGAACATCCACAGGTCACAGGACAGTCACATTTTTCATGGGGTGATAAACAGGCTGTATGCAGTCGTGGGACCTAAGCTGTATGCATTCGTGGGAACTAGGTTGCACTCTCTCGTGGGACGTAGATGGGTTGTGGGTTAGGGCCAGTTCTATATGTTTGGGGTCGTTAAAAGCATCAGAAAGCCGGGAAACCCAGTCTTACCACCCTCTAAAATGTTGGACTGTCCTGTGATGAGGATATAAATGAAGAACCGTTTTACATCTGAATTATGTTTTGCTTCAGTTTTTCTGTTAATAAACTCTGCCTGCAATAAAGAAATCCGTCAACAGCATGTCCTTAAAAAAAATGTTTATCAAAATCCTCCAGCATTGGACTACAAGTTAGTGGTAGCCGTTTAGTGGTGAACCAAATTTGAACGAGGTTTCCTGGATTTACATTGTAAATCTTGAGAGGTTAAAAAAGGGGTTATTTTATTAAAACACGTGCTTAAGTTTTTCTAGTGTTGATTACTTAATCTAATGGTGATTCTAGTGTTGATTTCATAGTCTAATGGGCCTTCTACTGCTGATTGCCTAGGCTAGTGCTGCTTCTAGTATTGATGACTATGTCTAATGGTGCTTCCAGTGTTGATTACCTTGCCCAGTTCTGCTTCTAGCGTTGATTACCTAGTTTAAAGGTGCTTCTAGCGCTGATTACTATGACTAATAATGCTTTTAGTTTTGATTACCCTATCCAGTTATGCTTTTAGCGTTAATTGGTGCTTCTAACGGTGCTTCTAGTGTTGATTACCTAGTCTAATGGTGTCTTTCGTGTTGATTACCATGTCTTATGGTGCTTCTAGCGTTGATTACCTAGTCTAATAGTGCTGCTAGAGTTGATTGCCTTGTCTAATGGTGCTGCTAGAATTGATTATTTAGTCTAATGGTGCTGCTAGAATTGATTATTTAGTCTAATGGTGCTGCTAAAGTTGATTGCCTTGTCTAATTGTGCTGCTAGAGTTGACTACCTAGTCTAATGGGGTTCATAGAGTTGATTACCTAATTTAATGGTGCTTCTAGTGTTGATTACCTTGCCCAGTTATGCTTCTAGTGTTAATTACCTTGTCTAATGGTGCTTCCAGCGTTGATTACCTATTCTATTGTTGCTCCTAGTGTGGTTTACATAGTTTAATGGTGCTTCTAGTGTTGATAACTTAGTTTAATAGCGCTTCTAGTGTTGATTACCTAGTTTATTGGTGCTTCTAGTGTTGATTACCTAGTTTATTGGTGCTTCTAGTGTTGATTACCTAGTTTATTGGTGCTTTTAGTGTTGACTACCTAGTTTATTGGTGCTTCTATTGTTGATTACTTAGTTTAATAGCGCTTCTAGTGTTGATTACCTAGTTTTTTGGTTCTTCTAGGGTTGATTACATAGTTTAATGGTGCTTCTAGTGTTGGTTGCCTAGTTTAATGGTGTTTCAAGTATTGATTACCTGGTCTAGTGTTGCAAAGTGTAAATTACACTGACTGTTTTGTGACTGCGCGCGTGTGTGTGTGTGCATGTGTGTATGTGTGATGTAAGCGAATATAAAAGCGTCATATATAATTATGTCACTTCAGGTCGGCATTTGTAATTTCAGTTTGTCACGCCGCTTAATAATTATGACATACTAAACTAGTTTTAGTGCAGTCAATTAGTCAGCAGACTTCTTTGTTTTGTTTTTCGACAAGGATATAAGTGTCCGTCGTCCAAGAAGCAATGGCAAACTACTGAATGCATATTTTCTAACAAAGCTACAAGCAAAAAATACAACATACGCGACAAAAATTGGTAGTTAAGACATTAAAATTTTTATGATCAGTTTGGTAGTTTAATTTGGATCAAGTTCCCGCTACGTACAATTCCATTCGGAGCCATGGACTCTTTACTATGGGTAAATGTTAATGAAACGAAGGGACTGGTGCTGTTATAATATATCTTAAAAACGTGTTTCAGTGTTTGTATTCTTCTCATATGGTGCTTACAGAACAGGTTAACGTGTCATTTGTTTTAAGAAAAATATGAAATGGAGGGTTTTACAAATTACCTTAATGTTTTTATAGATATGCCAGATAAATGGGATAACTGCATTTGCAAGCTGTTAATGATTTACAAACAACCGTAAATCAAAGACTACATAAATAAATATAGATTGTTCCATTATTGGTTATTCTTCTGATGAATAATATGCGTTTTAGTTGTTTATTTATATTGTTTGTATTTATTGAAATATTCCTGCTTAGAAAATCTAGAGAAGAAATAATGACAGCCATTTTTGATAGTCTGAGAAATAGAAATTTTTCTCATGATCATCTCAGAATAATAAAAAGTGTTGACAAATATGATCACATTTTCAGTGACTGGCTGCGAATTATTTTTCAATGGATATTCTATTCTGTCCTTTGTCAACTGGTGGATATATTCGGAATTATATCTAACATCATCAACATCATCTGTTTCGTCAAGCAAGGTTTTCATGATACGGTCAACATTAGTTTGTTGGGTAAATTATATTCAGCATTGACGTTGTATTTTATAGACGATACAGAAATTTAGAAAACACTTTAACCTAAATAAAATGCATATATATTTGGTTCAAGTTACAAAGTCAGGCCCAGAAAAGAATGCCTTCCCTTGTCATTCATGCCTGGTTGTGTCTTAGGGCCTGTTCTATGTTGCAAGGAGGGGGGGGGGAGGGTGTCAGCGACAGTCACCTGGTTCTTCATGAATAACCAAATTGTGAAGACACAAAGGCCGATACCAAAACTCTGTGGCAAATACTTTTTGAGGTCCGACTCTTTGAACTACTAAAATATAAAATTGTATAGATGCCTATCATTTAAAGAACAGTAGACATCATTATTATCAAGGCCAGGAAAGGTCTGTCGGCAACAGTAGTTAGGGCTGCTATGACTTCAAACAATGGTTGCTTGTGATGTTATACCAGTGATAGTCCTCTCCAAAACTAAGTAGGCACTGATCATCATCATGTCACTTAGCGTCTACAGACACTCTGAAACAGATTGAAAACGAGACAATGCGTCTTATTCTCGGGAGCACCAGGGACACCTCCTGCTAGTTGATACGATATCTGTTGGACTTTCCCACAGTGAACATCAGAATCAAACTTTTCAGGGCCACCGCTCTCTTCAAGTTGAAATCAGACCAACAGCACCCGCTCCACACGGAGGTATTCCTGTCCAACAGCACCCGCTCCACACGGAGGTATTCCTGTCCAACAGCACCCGCTCCACACGGAGGTATTCCTGTCCAACAGCACCCGCTCCACACGGAGGTATTCCTGTCCAACAGCACCCGCTCCACACAGAGGTATTCCTGTCCAACAGCACCCGCTCCACACGGAGGTATTCCTGTCCAACAGCACCCGCTCCACACGGAGGTATTCCTGTCCAACAGCACCCGCTCCACACGGAGGTATTCCTGTCCAACAGCACCCGCTCCACACGGAGGTATTCCTGTCCAACAGCACCCGCTCCACACGGAGGTATTCCTGTCCAACAGCACCCGCTCCACACGGAGGTATTCCTGTCCAACAGCACCCGCTCCACACGGAGGTATTCCTGTCCAACAGCACCCGCTCCACACGGAGGTATTCCTGTCCAACAGCACCCGCTCCACACGGAGGTATTCCTGTCCAACAGCACCCGCTCCACACGGAGGTATTCCTGTCCAACAGCACCCGCTCCACACGGAGGTATTCCTGTCCAACAGCACCCGCTCCACAGGGAGGTATTCCTGTCAAAACAAAACTGACATAAAGAAGGCAGATCATGAACAGGTCGGAAAGCACAATCCAAAACCATACGAGATGAGGACCTAAACGTCACCACAAATATAGCAGACAGGACAGAGAGCAGCAATGTTTTCTGACCTAGCTGAACGTTTTTAACGTGAAATGAAGAAGAAGAGCAGGTCGTGCGGAGGATGCCATTCATCAGAATTGTAGTTTTCCAGAGATCAATCTAGGATGTGAACGGATACATTTGCCAGCTGCTTCAAACTTCAGCATCACGGTCCATATCACTCTCGAGAGAAGCTGTAGAGAACAGATCGCTGGCATACTGGACACTTTAGTCAAAGTGCTAAATGATGAAAATACACAGTTGTCAGTATGTTGTGGTTTATATTGATGGAACGGTCCACCGGGTCAAGCGAAGTTCATTGGCGTGTACTGTAAGCGCAAAGGGGACATTACCCAAAAAAAAAAAAATTAACAGCACAAACGGTGAAGAGATAAGTGGGACCTTTGATGTTACAACCAGCGGCATGTGAATGCAATAGCTGCAACACGGGCATTGACACGGCTGAGTACTTAAGCATTCTGAGCGATTTAATGAATATGCTGGAGAAAACCCAGGCCGGCTTAATCAGACATGAATGATTTTCTCATTAAATGCATCACAAATAACTAGCCCGACTTTTATCTTTGTGTCGGGCTATGAGCGTGTTCACGGTACTGAGCATGCAGATGATCTTACAACAGCGGGCCTGACACTGGACGGGAAAGATGTCATTAATGCCATGCTAGCTCAAAGAGGATCACGGCAGCAACCGAGACTCAGTATTCTTGTTCAGTCTGGTGGAGATCAGGATGCAGCCTGCAGTAGCTAGATATGACAATTTCAACAAGGACGTAAGGCGTCCGGTTAATCAACACAAAAGGATCACCAAGGATCAGTCGCTTTTTACTTTTGTGGGCTACTCAGGAGGAGACTGGTGCACCTATGGATCGGTCTAGAGTGTTGTGATGATAGCGCTGACTAATCACTAATCCCATGAATTCATCTCATATTCTGTATTTTTCAGGTCCAGTCTGCCCCCATCTTTATACTGTAATATCGTAGAATATCTATCAAACTGTAATCCATAGTATCTAGTATAAACGTTGGCACTCTTTTCCGCCCAGAGAGTGTCATGTAAGTGCAATATGAGCACTTTAGGTTCTGAAGATCGTTGCAACATATAAAACTACCTCTTGTCTGTCAACTTGTTTTGTTCCATAAGGCCACATTGTTTATTGATGCTGTGAAGCTGTTTATTTTTGTTATGCATGTAGTGACCAAGCAGCACACCTAAAGAAAGAGAGCTGAAGTCACATGCTTGAAAGACGTGGATGGTTTAGGGCGGGGGGGGGGGAGGTGGGGGGGGGGGGGGGGGGTAGTGTTAACAGTACATTTGTGGTCTCCCAGCTTACAAATTGCTCGGGATTTTTTTCTGCCTTACTTACTATGACGATGATTTTTTTTTTTTTTAGCCCAAGGATAATTTAGTACTTGGATCTCTTCCCTAGTGGGCTCTGGTGGAAAAGAGAGCGGGTGGGGGGTGTGGGGAAGAATAGACATGTTGCACTGCATCCTCTAACTAAAAAGCACTTGTAAAAAGCATGTATTAGGAGCTTACAATTAGGCGTGTTTCCTTAGAGTTGAGGGACCAGCTGTCTACAAATACGCCTAAATTGTAAAACGGATTTGCACACAAAGCCATAGTTCTGTAATAAGCTTAAAGTCCCGAAATGGACGAATACCAGAGTATTCCCAGTGAGTGTACTACTGGTCAACTCCAAGATAAAGAACAATTACTTGGGATTTAAGGAATGTGATAGTGTCAACTATCTTTTATTAATCATTATCAATGAAGCTTGCATGTCTATAATTGACACTCTGCATGCTAACATTATTGTTGTCCTTTGATCAATTTACAAAAGTCATAAGAAAGCCGATAGTAAACTTTTCAGTTATTTGCCCTAGTAAATTGTAAATGAAAAGTGTGATTGTTCGAAAACACTTGTGCATATAACATTATGTTTGTTTCCTCCATCAGGTTTAGCCATTTCTGACCTGTGTTCTCTGGTACCACTCATCTGGACAAACATCTGCTATAACCCCGCCTTCAATGAGTTAGACCTGGACTTTGAGCCTATAGAGTTTCAATACTTGACCGGGGCCTGGCCCCATAGCATCTTCACCCGTGTGACCAGCTGGATAACCGCCTTCATTACACTGGAGAGGTGCTTGTGTATCACAGTCCCGCTTAAGGTTTGTCATTCATTTTTTTTACTACATAGTAAAATGTACCCTTCTCCACGCCTTCTGATAAACTGGGCATATAGTGCTAGAACTATATTTGATAGATCAATCGGCACTCCTTGGGATTTGTGAAGGGCACTTCACGCCGGCCTCCTTACTTGACAGGACGTCATCTGTTACCAATTAAAGTCTGGGTCGACCTACATCGTATAAAAAAAAGTATGACTGTGAGGACCTGAACCAAAGACCTTCATATCTACAGCTGAGCGTCTAGCCGCTATACACTAGGGCGGTTCCAATCCACATAGTGCAAGACATATAGTTCATGGACTAATCAGCACTCTGTATGCAATGTGATCAACTATACTTCCCAGAACTTTACCTTGTACCAATTCTAGGATGGAAACCAAATTTAAATGGCACTGGTAACCATAGTTTCATCATTATCATGTAGCAGGTCCTTTACAGAACGTCGCTCTCATCACAGTCTGCCTGAAATAAACTCGGTCTCTGGCCAGTTCTCCCGCCTCATGCACTTTCACACTCAAAGCTATGGTTTAGGTACATGATATCACAACGTCTAGTTTGAGAATGGAGGTTGAGGCAGTCACACATGAGGTCATTGTAACTGACTCACAGAGCATGCTAAGAAAGGTGGAGACAGGAATACTCTGTGTAGAGGGGCAAGCATCACTTCAGAGGTCCCAGGTAGTCAGCATTCTTTAGATATTTTCTCCATGTCATGCCGGTGTGTAGGGAAATGAGCATGCGGATAGACTGGCCTGTTCTGCACCACTTGAGGGGTGAACTGATGCATTACGAACTGGATGTGGTGAGGGCCCTTTATGAGTGAACAGTGCCGAGGCACGTGTATATCATTACGGTCTGAGGAGACTGGCACTGCGAAGAGCTACAAGGGGATCAGCCAGACGCGCAACACTCGGGTTGAAGGCGAGGCGGATGTACAATAAGATACTGGCACCATCAGAATTTTCTCTTTGCTTGCTGCGGAAGATGGGGACGGATCGCTTATGGGGCTGTCCCTAGTGCTGTGATGTTGATTCCTAATTCAACATTCACCAATCAACATGTAATTATCTAAGAGGAATTACTATTTAGATTACCACAGAGACAATATTATGGATCACAAGGGGGCGTCTGATGTGCACGTCACACCACACCTAGCTCTTAGTTCCCGTTTACATTTACTTAAATAAACTTATAATATCATTTAGCCAATGCAGCTAAAAAAAACGAGAAGAGAAAAAGAACCTAATATTTGTATCAATCCAGATCTAGAACAAAATCGATTAGCTGACTAAACTATCACGCCTGCTTTTAATTCACACCATTGAAAGACAAATACACATTTTGGAAAATGTGCTTGTGGCTTTTTACTTTTTCTGTTAGAAATGACCATAAATAAAATACACAGGATATTATAAATATATTGACA